GATTTACAGCCTCGGAAACTCTGTGCAGGGTCACTATGAGTCAGAACCGACTCCATGACATTTAACGACAGCAACATTGCCTCTCGCTTGGATGGTGGGATATTGTAGGGTGTGATTGTAGCTTGGTGATATGACTGCAATAGCTGTCTCTTCTTGGCTAACGTAAGGAGACAAAGAGTCCCCCAAAGGTGAAAGAGGGACCAAAAAACAAAACAACAGTAAAAAACCCAGATTGGATACTACAGTCTATAATTGCAAACCCCCCTCCCCCCTCCCCCCCAAAAAAAACCTGTGGGAAAATATGAGTATGACTTTTAACACCCCTCTCTCAGCTTCTTGCCTTCAAAGCTGCTTGAGAAATGTCAAGATGTTACTGTTGCTCCTTATGATGTAACTTGGATTTAATTTTTGGCCTGTTTCCTTTTTAGTCTGTCTCTCTCCCCTCCACAACCCCTTCAGGTGTTTCTCCTAGTGAGAAACAACTCAGGTACAGCTTGAGCCGTTTTGGAAGACTGTTCAGTTTTTTGTTTTCTAAGTTATTATTTTGAATTGAGTGACAGTTTATATGGGAGAACATCGGTTTTATACTTATTGTTCCATTGCAATGATTACAATTTCCTCCATGCATCATCATTCTATTCCCTCCGGGTTTTTGTTTTGTTTTGTTTTTGAAGGGGTGGCTGTACACAAAAGCACTCAGGAATATATAATTTAAACAACCAAAGGGCACATTCTGCAAGCCTGCCTCCTGGCCACCAGCACCTGGCTGCCAACACACAACCTTTCTCTTTCCATGAGTCTAGAGTTCTCAGCTACTCTATCTCTTGATGTCATCATCTTTGTCTCCATCTCTGGTGTTGCTGCTTCTCTGGATAGGGTCCCACATTCCGCTCGTTCTCTTCTCCCTTGATGGTCCTAGGGTCTTCTGTTCCAAACTGTAAGATTAACTATTCCCCCCTTTATGTTACAAAACTTCTACATTTCCTGTTGTGACCATCGCAATGGAAACCGTTACTCACTATTGAGTCATAAGAATCTAAACCCTATCTCTTTTCACCAGACCCATCAAGACAAGATGAAAACTATTCAGTTAGGGATTCTATCTTCCCCTGCACACGCTAAAACTAAACTCACTCTTGAAAACTTGTAAGCCTGTCACTTCTTGCCTTTATAGCCCATTTTAGATAACCAATGTCTAAGTTGCCCATCCCTATCAACCCTGTATACAGTGGAATAGGATTGATCCTTGATGTGAAGACTCTTTTCCTCTCAGTATTTTGAGCTACTATGTCCATAAGTATAGGTCAAGTTTAATTTACACTTGTTTCCTTTATGGAAAAAAACCTTGTTTTTAAATAATCTTTAGTCCAATTCTGATCATCAATTGAAGCTAGGTTGACTGAGTACTGTCTGCAAGTTTGGGCATTCTTGTGCATCTCCCCTCAGTTCATATCAGCTTGGCGCTTTACTTTCAACTGTAGCCCTGCGTGACTCTGTCCTTGTCCGTGGGCTCAGGAGTCCCCAGGTCTCCCCCCACTTCCATTTTTATGTTGCTTTTGGTTTCTTATAGTAGTGTTTTGTAGTGTTCTTTGTTCCTCTGGTTAAATTTATTCCTAAATATTTTATCATTTGGTGGCTATTGTAAATGGTATTGCTTTCCTAATTTCCTTTTTAGAGCTGTCATTAATAGTATGTTGATTTTGTTAACAAAAATCAACATACAACTGATTTTTGTATGTTGATCATGTTGAGACCATTCAATTTTAAGCGGTTCCTGTTGGCTCCTCCCCTTTTTAGATTCTGTGTGCAGTGGTCTTTGCTGAGCAGATCCATGTGACTGTGTAGTAGAACCAACCCCCTGCCCCCCCCCCCAGGGAGTTGTGGGGTGTCCAATTGCTCAGGCCCCATCCTCTATTTACCAGAGTGGAGGTGCACTGGCAGTGCTAGTCAAATGAACAGGGGGGAAAAAATGGTCATACCTTTATTTCTGTGTATTAGTCAGACCTGTGATATGGGAGAGCTCCTTTGATCCTGACCCCGCTCTTTCATGCCCAAGATGACCGCTCTGGGAGCCGCTGGCAGCCACAGATCAAAAAACACCACCTTTCTTGCTTTTGCCAGAAATCCCACTAACAGTAAGCCTTTGGTCTTTCTAAATATTCCTTTATAAGTCGTTCAGTACCCTGAACCTGCTTCATGTGGTGCTCTGTGTTATTGCTGGTGGAGATGTGCATAGTACTTCTCCCTAATCCACCATTAAGGTACACCCTACCAATAAATGTGTATTAAATGAATGGAAGAAATTAGGAGAGAGGAAGAACTCATTGTTTCATATCCTCATTGTAAGAGTGGATGTTCAAATTAGTCTTTAATATGTACAATGAAAATAGATTCAAAAAATGATCACTCAGACTTCTTAATTCTTAGTTCTAAGATAATTTTGCATAATCAAAGATTTACATATGGTTTAAAAAATATTATAGGGAGTTCCTTTATATTCTTTACCCAACTTGTCTAACAGTATTTTTTAGTTTTTTGTTTTTGTTGAGAATATACACAGCAAAACAAAAACCAATTAAGCATTTTATATATCCAATTCAGTGACATTGATCACATTCTTCAGTTGTGCAACCATTTTCCATCCTTTTAGGTATTTCTCACGATAAGAAAAAACAGCTGCAAATATCCAGTAGTAATTGGAACGTGGAGTATATGAAGTATGAATCTAGGAAAATTGAAAGTTATCAAAAATCAAATAGAATGCTTAAAGATTGGCGTTCTAGGCATTAGTGATCTAAAATGGACTGGTATTGGCCATTTTGAATCAATCATGTGGGTTACTATGCCAAGAATGACAAATTGAAGAGGAATACCATTACATTCATTGCTAAAAAGATCATTTAAGATCTAAAGTACAGCATTGTCAGTGGTATGATAATATCCATATGTTCACAAGGATGACCACTTAATATGACTACTATTCAAATTTATATACCAATCACTAATGCCAAAAATGAAAGATTTTTGCCAACTTCTGCAGTCTGAAATTGATCAAATATGCAATCAGGATGCACTGATAGCTACTGGAGATTGGAGTGTGAAAGATGGAAACAAAGAAGCATCAGTGGTTGGAAAAATGTGACTTTGGTGCTATAAATAATGCCAGAAATCACATGGTAGAATTCTTACTTCAGTACTGTTGGTTCTTGATCATATGCTATCTCTTGTAATGGTTGAATGTTGACCAGTTCTTTTTGGTACCATGACTCTGCGTATTCCCTCCATCTTATTTTGATGTTTCCTGTGCCCTTCAGTATTTTGTCCATAGAATCCTTCAGTATTTCAATTTGAGACTTGAATTTTGTTTTTTTTAGCTTGAGAAATGCTACACATGTTCTTCCCTTTTGGTTTTCTAACTCCAGGTCTTTGCATCTCTCATTGTGATATTTTACTTTGTCTTCTGAAGCCACCCTTTGAAATCTTTTGGGGATTTTTTTTTGCTTCATCATTTCTTCCATTCACTTAAGCAGCTTTACATTTAATGACAACTTTCATGCTCTCTTTTGACATCCATTTTTTTTTTGGCTTTTAAATGAACTTTTGCTTCCTTCATGTATGAAGTTCTTGATAGTATTACAGTTGCTCTTGTCTTCAGTCATTAATATTCAGTATATCAAAATGCTTCGGGTCATACTTTGGCTCTTGTTTACTTGTTTTAATTTTCTTTAACTTCACCTTGAGCTTATGTATGAGCAGTTTGTGATCTGTTCTGCAGTCAGTTGCTGGACTTGCTCTGACGGATGGTACTGAGCATCTCCATTGTCTCTTTCTACAAATGTAGTAGATTTGATTCCTGTGCATTCCTGTGGTGAGATCCATGTGCATAATAACCATTTGTGTTATAGCTATATGCGTATCATCTTATCACTGACAGTGTTGTATTCAGGATCGATTTTGAAGTGTTCTTTTTGGTAATGAATACAACATTGTTCATCTTCATTTTGTTGTTTTTGGCATAGTAAACCATATAACGATCTGATTTTAAATAGCCAAATGCCAGTCCATGTTAGCTCTGTAATGCCTACAATATTGACCTTTAAGCATTCTATTTCATTTTTGACAACTTCTAGTTTTCCTAGATTCATACATCATACATTACATATTCCAATTACTACTGGTTGTTTGCAGCTGTTCTCATTTTGAGTCATGCTACAAGAACAAATGAAGGTCGCCAAAGCTTTACTCCATCCACGTCATTAAGGTTAAGTCTACTTTGAGGAGGCAGCTTTTTTTTTTAAAGTTTGTATTATGAATTGAGTGATACTTAACATGTACACCATTGTTGCACTGCAGTGATTACAATCTCCTCCGTGCATCATCATTCAAAAGTTATTTGCTTCTATTCCTTCTGGGTTTTTTTTTTTTTTTTTTTTTTTTGTGTGTGTGTGTGTGTGTTTGGGGGGATGTACACAGAAACACTTAGGATGTGCCCTTTGGTTGTTTAAATGCCTTCTGGCTGCCAGCACTCAGTCTTTCTTTATCCATGAATTTAGAGTCCTCAGCTGCTCTCTCTCTCCATGTCCTGAGGAGGCAGCTTTTATCTTTTTTATTTTGTTTCTATGTCTCTTTGTGCTATATTCTGGGATTTTTTTGTTTGTTTAATTTGCTTTCTCCAGTACAGAGTACTACACAGTCTAGCCTTGCTGTGCTTGGTACTGGCTGATACATCTGTGCAAATACTCATGGTCATATGCCCTCTTTTCATCCAAAGGTAGTTCCACCTAACAGGATCTTACTGTGCCATGTGTGATGGACATCATTCTCTCATTCCTTTCTGAACAGAATATTGATTATTTCAGTCTCTTGCCAGTGACTTCTGACATCCCAGCAAATGACATTGGCCACACCAGCACTGAGAAGATACTCCTGAGGACTCAGCATCCATACAAAGAAAGCAGTCTTGCTTCGTGTTTTGTGGGCAGACCCTGAAAGTGCGAAAGATGCCTCCAGGCAGGTGGCATGCTGCCCACCCAGGGTCCCGGACCCAGGCTTCTAGGGACAGAGGGCGCCTCCAGGTGGTAAAGGAAAACAAGGATGAAGGCTATACTTCAGTACAGACAGCTAGGCCACAGACTCTCAACCGTCCTGGCCAGGAGCTCTTCCGCCAGCTCTTCAGGCAACTTGGCTACCACGAGTCTTCTGGACCTCAGGAAACTCTGAGCCGACTCCGGGAGCTCTGTCGCTGGTGGCTGAGGCCTGACATTCTCTCCAAGGCTCAGATCTTGGAGCTGCTGGTGCTGGAGCAGTTCCTGAGCATCCTGCCTGGAGAGCTTCGGACCTGGGTGCAGCTGCATCGTCCCGGGAGTGGGGAGGAGGCCGTGGCTGTACTGGAGGAGCTGCGGAGGGACCTTGATGGGATACCACAGAGGGTAAGTGTGGGGGACCTTAAATACTGCCTTCCTTTGAGTCAGCTTGTTGGGACTGGGGCGGGCCTCTGAGCTCATAGTGCTGGGGGTACAGGAGAAGCCTCCCTTTTCTCATTCAACTGCACTTGAGAGCTGAGAACTGGGTCCTGAGCCACTGATCTTACAGCAGATAGCTTTTGCCCACTTTCCAGAGAATACATTAGCAAGTGTGCATCAATAATAGTAACTAGCTTTTGGACACAGTGGCTTACCATGTACAAAGTCCATCTTCATACAGTCTCTAATTTGACATGAGTAAGGTGAGAGTTATGTCTTTTGTTCATTAGGAGTATAGGGTAAGACCCCAAAGATTAGACTGATTGTATATACCATGTTGCTTCTTCCTCAGTAGGCTTTTGAGGATTTGTTCTCTTTCTGTATGTGTGGAGGGGGGCAGGGGACTGTGAAACGGGGGTTGGTGGGTGAGGAAGAGAAGCAGCCATGGACTAGGAAGTAGAGAAACATCAATGAGATGTTTAAAAAGATTTAAAACTAATTTATAAAAGGAAGAAGGTATGCAGTAGTTATAAAATTATGGCTTGGTTATGTTCAACTCTTCAGAACTAGATGTAATATTTTAAAACTAAAAACATTGCCAATGAACAGAGAGCCTAACTGTTTGAAAGCTAGTTATAAATTAGACAACAAAAGCCAGGCCTAGGGAAAACAAAAGCTGAAGCCCCCTCCTACCATGCCCCTCCTCCACTTCTAAAAAAAAAAAAAAGAACAGAAATTCTCAAGATGATAAGTTACAGAATCACCCTATAGTTTGTCTGAATTACCATTGTGAAAAATGAGGGCCAGGGTCTGTGAAAGTTTGCGCTTAGTCTAATTTGGTGGTACTTCTATATTCTTGTTGTTGTTAAGTGCTGGGTTGGGTCAGTTTCGAGTCATAGTGACCCTGTACAGATTTTCTAAGGAACAGATGGTGGGTTCTTCCTGTAGTCAGTTTGAGGAAGAACAGGAGATGCATTATTCTGGTCAGTTCATCCTTTAATCTGTAATTCAGCTGTTCAGTGGCCTTAGGCTAAGTTTAATTAATCTCAGTATAGAGCTGTCTTGGCCACCTGACCATAAAAACATGGAATTTCATTGGCTGCAGCTTTGCAGTCTCGTCTTTCCCTCAGAGACAGCCTCTCTCTGAGACAAGAACTATTTGAAGTCTCAGGGCAAAGTTCTATTCCTTCCTGGCTGCCCCGTGGATGAGCACTGCCAGTGTTTGTGTCGAGACTCTTTCTTTGATTGTCCCATGACTGACCCTCTGGAATCAACATTGCTTCTCAAAACAGAGCTAATATTTCAGTCAAGTTTAGACTCTGGGACCCACCCTGCCTCTTCAAGGCCACTTTGCATGTTAGTGTCTGACACTTGTAGATGGTACATGCTTCTCCTGTGAAGCATTATCTGCTTAACTGTCTGGGACATATTTCTTCTCTCTCCTCATTTCCAGGCTGGTGGCAGAGAGAGCGGTGTCACTGTTGATCCTGACAGCAGTGCTGCTACTGACTTTCTGTTTGCTGATGTGGAATCTGTCTCCACTTTGACTCGCCCACAGTCTTCCCTACCCTGCCTGTTAGAGCCCAGGGAGGCAAACAGTGTGGGGCTGAGGGCTTGGGAGGGGTCTCTCTGAACTCTCTCTGTGTTATTTCCCCTCTCCTTTAATTAATAAAAGGCCTGGCTCATCTTTCCCTGGACCTCTGTCCTTTAGAGGTTAGCCACATGGTCTCTTCTTTGAGATTGCTTTCTGTTTCCCATGGGTTTCCTCTCACAACTTTTTCTTCTTGCCAGGACCCAGGCCCTGCCCAGAGACCAGATGTGCAATGGACGGGTACAGGAGCCCTGCGAGCCGCACAGATCTGGCCCCCTGCTTCACCTGTCAAGAGCAGCTCTGCTTTAGAGGACCACCTGGAGCCCCCCTATGAAATAGGCGTGCGTGCCAACCTCGCTGGGCAATCCGGTACTAGCTGCCTGGCTGTGAGACCTCAGCCTCATTCCATACTTCCCAGATTTCCTATAGTGTTGTGTTTTTACCCTTTGTCATCTCTTGAGAACCCTTTCTGTCCTTGCCCTGTGCTGTGTCCTCTCCCACCCCTTCTGTGACCCATGTCAAGGTCTTTCTGCCATTATACTCCACTTTGTCCTAACCTGTGGCCCACAGCAGACACTGGAGGAATGTGAAAATGGTATTTAAAAACAGTCCCTACCTTTCAGGGGCCCAGGAATCCTGTGTGTCCCGGGGAGAGTGGACTTCTCAGTGAGATGCCCAGAAATGGACAGTTCTTTCATGATTCTTCTCCCTCAGGTTCTCCTGCTTCCCACATGCCTACCCTTACCCAGAGAGAGGGGTACCCAGGAAATGGGGTGACAGCATTCAGGCCCCTGACCGATCAGCCCCAGGTGAGCCACAACACTTTTGGTTCTTCTTGATGTTCCCACCTAGTTGTCTAATGGGGAGGCTGTAGCTCCCCCATTTCTCTGTCCAGTGACTCCCATCCAGAGACCCACATCCCAGTTTATCTACCCAGAACCCAGAGCTTTTCTGTGGTGAGATGGTCTCCTTCATCCTTGCCAGATCCATCCTGTACTCACTCAGAGCCCATTCCCTGCCTTATACTGGAAGCTGGGTGCTGGGGACCAGTTCTAGGACACAGGACTGTATTTTTTCAGGAGGCTATGACTTTCAAGGATGTGGAGGTGACCTTCTTCCAGGACGAATGGGAATGGCTGGACCATTCCAAGAGGAACCTGTATAGGGATGTGATGCTGGAGAATTATGGCAACATGGTTTCTTTGGGTAAGACCTTCTTGTCCCCATGCCTCTACCCATTTTACTCTGCCCTCTTCGTTTTCATTGCAGTGCATTAAAAAGGGGGCCTGGCCTGGATTTGATTTTGGCTCTGTTAACTATCAACAAGATAATTTAATCTGTAACTCTCAGCCTCCTCTCTTCAGAATGCAGATAGTAATACTTATTATGCAGGGCCACTGCAAAGATTAAAGGTAATCTATCAAGTTGCTGCTTCATGTAAATATTCAAAAATGCTGGCTGATTCAACTGATTGTCATGGTTTATACCTCTAAAAATCATAGGGATCCTTTCTGCTACGAATTCGCTTAGCCTTTCTTGTCTATACCAAGAACTATCAGAAATGTCAGGGCCTCTTCTAGCCTCCTCCGCCTGCCTCCCTAGTTTTTCTCTCCTCAATATTAGGGCCACAGGTAGGATCCTGAAGAATAGCTTCATGTGATTCATCTGCATTCCTATTCCATTTCCTTCTCTTCTGCAGTGGGACCATTCCATAAACCTGCTCTGATCTCCTGGTTGGAGGGAAGGGAGCCATGGGGCCTGAATGATCAGGGAGTTCAGCAAAGAGAGAAGCCAGGTGCTGCCCCTGCAGGTGAGTTACAGAGAACTACCAGGTCTGGCCCCTCTCTTATGTCTCCTGGGGACTTCATTCATTGTTTGCTGGAAGGAAGGTCTTTAACAATGGTGCTAAGGGATGCTGGAGTCCTGGTGTGGACTATGGGCTAATGCCCTGTCCTGCAAAGTTGGTTCAAACCGCATGGTGGGCAGTTCAAGCTCACCAGCAGCTCCTTGTAAACCCTATACAGGGTCTCTATGGGTTGAAACCAACTTGACATCTCTTAACAACAAGGTTACTGGGTCCCTGGGCCTCTTCCTGTAGGCTGATCTATTAGAGACCAGTCATTTCCTGTCCTGACCTGTCCATCTCCTAGCATGTCCTCTCACTAACAGCTCTTGCTACCAGAGGGCTTCACTGTTCCTCTCCTTTCCACTCAGTAATGCGACTTCTCCAACTTGTGTCTGCACTCCTGCTAAGTTTCTTACACCTGCCCTTTCCTGGTCTGAGGAGCAGAGATTCTCTTCTTTGTTTGGTTTTGCTCCCTGTGATAGGCCTGATGATGGCCAGCTCTGTCAGCCACCCTCCATCAAGCCCACCCCCCTTGGCTTTTGAGTATCTTCCTGTCATGATCCCTCTCCCCATTGCTGCTATTAGGTTCGTGGGTGGTACAAACTGTTTTCACTCAACTATTAATCTAAAGGTTGGCAGTTCAAACCCATCCAAGCAATGCCTTGGAAGGAAGTCTTGGCAGTCTGTCTGTAAAGATTACAGCCTGTATGAAACTCTGTAAGTTTCATTTATTTTCTGTAATTCACAGGTTACCATGAGTCAAACTTGAGTCAACAGCAATGGACATGCTCCTGCTGTTTAACATTTTACTCTCAGCCCTTTCTGTTCTCTAACTGGATTTGATTTATTCTTATCACTTGCCTCTAGTGTCATCTTATTTCTCCTCCTCCTCCCTTCTCTGATACTTGGGATCTCTATCTGGGTTCCATATTGTATTATATTCCTGACTATTTTGCCAGGGTATTTGCAGTCAGACAAAAGTCTTAACCACTTAGGAGCTTGACATTTATTGCCCCTTGGTGCTTCCTCCTGTTCAAAGTATGAGAAAAGAACATACTCTTTTGTGTTTTATTTTGTGTCAGGAGGTGAATTCCAGAGTAAGCCAATGGAAGCAGAAACCTTAACTGTACAATCAGGATGCTCTGTGATGAATGTTTCTGAGGGAACAGGGCTTCAAGAATCTTTTGAGCAGAAGAGTGGACTAGAGGAGAAATGCGGACCCCCTGTGCTCATGAAAATAAAGAAAGAAGAGATCAATTTCAGTAACAGAACAGAAAGAGAGTCTGAGGAATTAAGAGGAAGTAATAGTCTTGACCAAAAACACCTAACATATTTGAAAGATCCTGGAAGAAAGCGATCTCTTAAACGTGGTTATGGCAGACGTTTCAGACTAAGTTCACACCATCATGACTACAAGGACTATGAGGAAGGGCTTAGACACATGATCGGGGAGGTTGGCCTACATCAGAGAAATCATGTGGTACTGCAAGGGGATGAAAAGGACACAGATGGGAAAGACTCTAGCCTTAGCTCTCATCACCAATCTGGACAGAGTCTTGCCATGGTGGAGACCCCATATAAGTGCAGTGACTGTGGGAGGGCCTTCAGTGATCGCTCCCATCTTGAATGTCATCAGCAACTTCACACTCAAGAAAAACTATATAAATGCAGAGTGTGTGAGAAAAGCTTTAGGTGGAATTCAAACTGTATGAGGCACGAGAAAATTCACACTGGACTGAAACCATATAAATGCAGTTTTTGTGAAAAAGCGTTTCGACGAAGATCAGTCTGCCGTCTGCACCAGGAAACCCATACTAAGCCGGACTTTCTGGAATCTAATCAGAATGAGGAAGCTGTCATTTATGGCTCAGAGTTTGATGATCATTTGAGATACCACAGTGGGAAGAAACCCTTTGACTGTAGCCAGTGTAGGAAATCTTTCCACTGTAAATCATACGTTCTTGAACACCAAAGGGTTCATACCCAGGAGAAACCCTATGTATGTACCAAATGTCGGAAAACTTTCAGGTGGAGGTCAAATTTTACGCGTCACATGAGACTGCACAAGGAGAAAAAGTTGTTTGAACAAGACAAATGTAGGGAGGACTTCAAGGCAACCTCCAGCTCCCACCAACCCCAGAAAGCCCCCATGGAAGAGAAAACTTTTCTTTGTCAGCATTGCAACAAAAGTTTTACTCGAAAAAAATCCCTAATTGATCATCAGAAAAGTCACACAGGTGAAAAACCATACCAATGTAGTGAATGTGGGAAAGCGTTTGCCCACAGGTCAACCTTTTTTGTCCATAAGAAGCGGCATTTCATTGAAAGAAAATCTGAGGGGGATCCATTGTTTAGTCAGGACCAAGTGTTGCAAGTTTCTGAGAATAGTCACAACATGCAGGAAGTCTACAAATGTAGCCAGTGTGGCAAAGCTTTTTCCAGTATTTCGATCCTCCACATCCATCAGAATACACACACCAGAGAGAAACCTTATCAGTGTAGGGAATGCGGGAAAGCTTTCAGATGGAGTTCCAATCTTTCTCGACATCTTAGGAGTCACTCGTATGGAAAACATTATGAATATTGTGAATATGGAGGAACTCCAGGTCTTCATCTGAAAACCTTCACCAATGAGAAACCTTTTTGGTGTCAGGAATGTGGGAAAACCTTTACTCGTAAAAGAACTCTTTTAGATCACATGGGAATACACAGTGGAGAGAAACGCTATAAATGTAATCTGTGTGGAAAATCTTACGATAGAATCTATCGCCTAGCTAATCATCAGAGAATTCACACTCAGGAGAGACCTTTTAAATGCCAATGGTGTGGGAAAGACTTCATTGGAAGGCATACCCTCTGTGTTCATGAGAGAAAACATGCCAGAACAGCACAGCCTGGATTATCTTCCTGCAAGGATGCAGAGTTGAGTTTAAAGGAATTCAGACACTGTCAGGAGAAAACCTTTGAAGATCATGAGGAAATTTGTGACCCAACCTTCAAGCCCACCACCCAGAACATTGGGAACAAGAGCCATAAATGTAACGTGTGTGGGAAATCTTTTCAGAAAGGTTCTCAACTCCTTAGCCACAAGAGATTTCATACTCGAGAGAGACCCTTCAAATGCTTAGAGTGTGAGAAGACCTTCAGATGGTCTTCAAATTTGTCTCGGCATATGAAAAACCATCCTAGGAGCTAGCCAGGGGCCCTCACCATGTGTGTGTTGGGGGGTGCCCTTAGCTATGCTGCTAGAAAACTCTTAATTACGGGAACCTAGGGAAAGACTTTACAGAGGGCCCAGTCTTCCTATTTTAGAAGCTAGTGGTAAAGAATCCTGAGGATCGAAAAGCTCAGGCAGTCACCATCCTATCTGCTGGGAAGTAAGGGCAGCATGTTCTCTGTGACCCTTCTGGAGGCTCTGGCTCCTGGAGTGGCCTTTGCTAAATGACCTGGGGCTCCCTCAGGTTTTCTTTCACAACTTTAAAAGACCATTGACCTTTGTGAATAGACAGAATGTTTGTGGCATGGTGGGCTGTGGCTTCTGGGAAGGGGATAATTGGATTTTAAGTTTCCCGTTGAGTTTGGCCACTGATTGTACCTATTCTGTTTGACCTTACAGAACTCCTGGTCTCCCCAGTTGCCTCTTGGGAGGTCTGGATGGAGCTTCAGATATCATAGTTACCTTTTGGGTATCTGTTAAGGGCTAGTGGCAAGTGAGGGGAAGAAAGTGTCTTCAGTAGAGTATAGGTAATCTCAGGAGGTGGTTGACCATCCTCCCAGTTGCCTTCCTACAGCAATGGCTGCCCATGGCCCGGAATCATTTGTACAGTGCCAAAAGATAGCACTGGAAGTGGCTGGGCAGAGCCCACATTCCTGGGAAGGGCCTTGAAGCCAAGTGGTGCTGATGTTTGGTAAGTCATTGAACCTCTGTATATGTTTCCTCATGTGTGAAACTGCAGTGGTTGGCTGCCTAACTCAGGAATGGTGAGAACAAGGGTTTGGTTAACTGAGGAACTGGGCTGGGTGGCTGATGTGTAGGACCAGAACCCCCACAGAGGTGCACCTTCCATGCCAGTTGGCGCCACAATCATGGAAATGCCACTTTCTGTCCATGCTTTTCATCTCCCCCAGTCACTCCTTGTCCTTCCCAGCACCTCAGAACTCCTGCCACAGAGATATTTTCTTTACTCACTGGCCACTGAGACAACTGTTTGTGCCCTTGACATAAAATAGCTAACTATGAGTTTGAAGCTCCAGCCAGAACTCCCCTAGAGGCATTTGGGCAGATAAGAGTTGAATGTGTTATTTTCTAACATTCAAATACAATTAAAAAATATATAAAAATCAGCAGAAATCCCTCTGTACTGAGGTGAGCTACTATTATTTTCGGGGTTGAACTGATTAAGTTTGTTCAATAACTTGAGGTTTCAAATTATTACTATACAATATGTGACTATTATAGAAATATACTAGTAGATAGAGATTAAGAAAGGAGAAAAATACTAAGAATGTCACTACTTGGAGCCAACGAATCTGTGATGAGTTTGACTTTACTATCCTTTCCTGAAGGGTCCCTGCACTCTCCTGCCGCTTATGCTGTCTCCTATCACTTGAATTGCCACCCCTCTCTGCTTGTTCAGGTGTCCATTGTTCAAGGCCTGATCTTCCCTGACCCTTGCCCCTTTTCTGAAGCCTTTTCCCTTGTCTCACCTTTTTCCCAACTTCTGGGCCTCACTGCTGTGTGTTGCCTGAATTTTCAGTCATACGTGTCACTGCAGCCAGACAATTCTCTCAAGGCCAGGGTTGGATACTTATCTGTTTGCCCGGCTGAAGAGATAATGCTAAAAGATTCTTCTATTAAGGGCTGTAAAAATATATTTAGTTCAGTTAAATCAAGGCTGGGATGTTTTTGAGGGGTCCCTTAAATGAAATGTTGCCTGGGAGCTGCCCACAAGCACACCTGTTGGTTAGGATCTCAGCTGTGGATGGTTCTCATCTGTGTGACTGTAGTTGACAGGTTTTGACTGCTTTAGCCACTGGTTCTCATCATGCCCCCATCCTGACCTCTGGGGATCTTGCAGGCTACTTCCAACTCTGCCCTATCTCCCTTAAGCAAGAGGAGCTGAAGTTTTAGAGGTGGGGAAAGCCAGAGGGACTAGGGCAGTTGCAGTCCAGAATCAGAGAGTGGGAATCAGCAGGCCTTTGGGCCATGTGTACAGTGCATTCAGCCACCTGCTTGCTGATAGGCTGTCAGAGGCATATGCAGAAAAGGAAGCACGGGAATTCAAATTCTTACCATCTCAATTATTAAGTTGGCAGTTTTTAAAAATGCTATATTGTGAATTGAGTGAAGGTTTACAAAACAGATGATCAAGTTTTATATTCCACAAATTACATACTTCGTTTCATTTCAATGCTTGCAATCCTCTCCATGTACAGTATTTATCTCTGCTTCCTTTAACTTTTACACTCATGGCTGCATCTTCCCCTACCTTCTTCCCTCCTCAAGTTGGCAAACTTTTAAAAGTCCAAGTGTGGATCAACACAGACCAACGAGGAACTCACAGACTGCTGTGAGTAGGAAATTATGCCAGCTACTGTGCCAATCAGTTTGCAAAATCTTGTAAAGTTGTATAATCTCTGCCACTTAGCAATTATACTCCTGGACACACTAAGAGGAATGCCTTCATGTGAAGAAGGAAATGAGTCTATAAAGACTTCTTTGCAGTATTGTTTAGGTAGTAAGATTGGGAACACAGCTTGAGGAACAGGTAAATAAATGGTTGTTGTGGGTGCTTTGAAAAGTGAATAGGGAAGAACTAGAATAGTATTTTTCAACATAAATAAATACAATGCTGAGGAAGGTGCAAGAAGCAAGATCGGGAAATTAAAGACATCCAGATTAGCAAAGAGGAAGTAAAACTCTCCCTAATTGCAGATGATGTGATCCTATACATAGAAAACCACAAAGACTCAGCAAACAATCTACTAGAACTCACTGGAAGATTCAGCAAAGTGGCAGAGTACAAGATCACCACACAAAAATCAGTTGAATTCCTTTATACTAATAATGACAGTGCTGAAAAGGAAATTAGGAAAGCAATACCATTTACAATAGTCACACAAAGGATGAAATATTTAGGAATAAATCTAACCAGAGAAACAAAGGGTCTATATGAAGAAAACTACAAAACACTAAGGAGCTCTGGTAGCATAGTGGTTACGAACTGGGCTGCAAACCGCAAGGTCAGCAGTTCGAAACTACCAGCTGCTCCGTGGGAGAAAGATGAGGCTTTCTGCTCCCGTAAGGATTTACAACCTTGGAAACCCTGTACAGGGTCGCTATGGGTCGGCACTGACTCGACGGCACTCAACAACAACAACACAAAACACTACTGTAAGAAACCAAAAGAGACTTATAAAAATGGAAGAATATACCATGCACCTGGATAGGAAGACATAACATTGTGAAAATGTCAACTACCCAAAGCAATCTACACATATAACACAATCCCAGTCCAGACTGCAATGACATTCTTTAAAGAGATGAAAAAAACATTATAAACTTTATATGGAAAGGAAAGAGACCCACAATAAGCAAAGCACTGCTGAAGAAGAACAAAGTTGGAAGCCTCTCGCTGCCTGATTTCAAAATTTTTTACATGGCTACAGTGGTACTGGTACTATGAAAGATACGTAAGTCAGTGGAACAGAATTGAAAATCCAGAAATTAACCCATGCACATACAGCCAACTGACCTTGGACAAAGGGGCAAAGAGCATTGAATGGGGAAGACATAGTCTCTTCAACAGATGGTTCTGGCAGAACTGGAAATCAATATTTAAAAGACTGAAACAAGACCTTTACCTCATACCATATACAAAAGCCAACTCAGCATGGACTAAAGACCAAAATGTGAATCCCAGAATTGTAATCATTGAAAAAATAGGGACAAATTTAAGGGTTCTAATCCAGAGCACATACAGACTACCAACCACTGCAAAAATTACACAAACAAAAGATGCCAAAGTAGATGATTGGGATATACTAAAAATCAGAAATGTATATCAAAAGATTTCAACAAAAGAGTAAAAAAAGAGGTCGCTGAATGGGAAAAAACTTTTGTAACATATTAGGGAACTAATTACTAAAATTTGTAGGAAACTACAGCACCTCTACAAGAAAAAGACAAAAATAACCCAATTAAAAAATGGGCACACGATGTGAACAGACACTTCACCAAGGAAGACATTTGTGCACCCAACAAACATGAAGAAATGTTCACAATCATTTAGCCATTAAAGAGATGCAAATCAAAACAAAAATGAGATATAACAGCAAAGTTCAAAAAAACAGGACAATAAATGCGATGATGTGGAGAGACTGGGTATTCTCTCCTGTGTTGCTGGTGGGAATTCAAAATAGTCCAACCACTTTGGAAAACAGTATGGTGCTTCCTGAGAAAGCTGGAATTGGAAATACCTTATGATCCAGCAATTCCTCTACTTGGTATGTATCCATAATACGAGTAGAGATATGCACGCCAATGTTTATAGCAGCACTATTCACAATACTAAAAAGATGGACACAGCCTAAGTGCCGATCAGTGGAAGAATGGATAAACAAACTTTGGTACATAGACACAATGGAATATTAAGCTACCTTGAAGAATAACAAGGCAGCTGCAAGCCACCGTGTAACATGGGTGAACAATGAGGACATTCTGCTGAGCCAAATTAATCACACAAAAGGACAAGTATTGCATCAAACCATTATTGTAAAAGTTCAAGAAAAGATACCCATACTAAAAGGGAAAATAAATTCTTTGTTGGTTTTTGGGGAGCGGGGGGTTGGGAGGGGGCAGTAGAGCACATGGTAGGGGATAGACACATCATAGTTTGGCTGTTGGGGTGGGTAATACACAAGAAGGGGGAAGGGAATGGAAGAACAAGGTAGATAGTGTGACATTGAGGTAGATTTGCATGGGCTATATAGGACAGAGGTAAATAATAATGTATGCTCAATCTTTGGACAACAGGGCTCTGATATAGGGATTGAGGAATAGTCTGAAGAGGGGAAATAATTAGATGCTTGACTGTCTTATGAATATCGGTTTCTCTTGCCTACAACTGTAAAATAGACACTTTAGTGGGATAGAAAAGGATATCTGAAAATATGATTACAGACAACTTGTAAGCC